CTTTCTGGACACATTTACCTGGTTAATGGAACAGACAAGTGAGCTGCTACTTTGGACTCCTTAGGGGGATCAGATAAAAGGAATGATGAGCTTCAGCAGAGAAGGAATGAGCAGGGTCACAGCAGGAAAGGTTTTGTGAGGGCCTGGAAGAGGCAACTGAAACAAGGAATGACAAACAAGATTGGCTTTGCTCAGGCACAGTTATATGAGGGGACTGGTCCCTGCATCCGAGGAGCCCATCTCCTGGAAACTGGCATATGGTGGTGTAATAGTAGAATGGAAAGGAAACTTATCCAAAAAGCAGGAATTATGGCTTGATCTGGGCTTTGCTTTAATCAGCTCTGATTTTGGGTAAGCCATTATTTTGGATAAGGACTCTATCCTCAGTTACAGCATAATGGACTCAGACCACTTAGGCCAACCTTTGTACTCTTAACATTCTGTGATTCTAAGATTAGCTAATTCTTATACCTATCCTTTATATAATACAATCATTTCCCAAATCCCTATGTAGAGCTGAGGAAATATCCACAGTTATTTTTTGAAGATTGATGAACTTTGCTTTCAATTTCTGATTTTGTATTTCCAAGCTGACTAGTAGCTGTCAACTAACTTGTATATATTTCTGCACTGATGAGACATGATATGAGGGCATTAAATATGATTTATAAATATTTTCAGAAACATACTACAGAACCCTAAAATACCTCTAGTCTGATAAATAGAAAATGCATATAGGTCACTGTTAACAATGATAAATTCTGACCTCAATTCTTGAAAAAAAAAAAGATTGCTAAGTCATTCTTACTATATACTATATTATACTTTCTTTTAACCTTTTAACTCTTGTTTTGCCAAAGTGCTGATAGAATAATATGGTTATACTATAACAAAATTTTGAAACAAACTTTTTTTCTTGTCTTATGGTTATTATGCTGCTTGTTTCTTCTGTTTCTTTGGTTTTATTAAATAACTATTGCTCATCTTAAGAATTCATATGCAAATGGAAGATCCTTAAAGCATCAAGAGATAAGAAATCCATAACTTTTATGGGGAGAAGTATCAGAATAACAGCAGACCTCTCCACAGAGACCTGGCAGGCCAGAAAGGGTTGGCAGGATATATTCAGGGTCCTAAATGAGAAGAACATGCAGCCAAGAATACTTTATCCAGCAAGGATCTCATTCAGAATAGAAGGAGAGATAAAGAGCTTCCAAAATAGGCAGAAACTGAAAGAGTATGTGACCACCAAACTGGCTCTGCAAGAAATATTAAGGGAGACCCTGTAAAAGAAAGAGGAAGTCCAAGGAAACAATCCACAAAAACAGGGACTGAATAGGTATTATGATGACATTAAATTCATATCTTTCAATAGTAACTCTGAACATGAATGGGCTTAATGACCCCATCAAAAGGCGCAGGGTTTCAGACTGGATAAAAAAGCATGACCCATCTATTTGCTGTTTACAAGAGACACATTTTAGACATAAGGACACATACAGTCTGAAAATAAAAGGTTGGAGAACCATTTACCATTCAAATGGTCCTAAAAGAAAGCAGGGGTAGCCATCCTCTTATCAGATAAACTAAAGTTTATCCCAAAGACTGTAGTAAGAGATGAAGAGGGACACTATATCATACTTAAAGCATCTATCCAACAAGAGGACATAACAATCATGAATATTTATGCCCCGAATGTGAGAGCCACCAAGTATATCAATCAATTAATAAACAAAGTTAAGACATACTTAGATAAAAATACACTTAATATTGGTGACTTGAATATAGTGCTTTCTACAATTGATAGGTCTTCTAAGCACAACATCTCCAAAGAAACAAGAGCTTTAAATGACACACTGGGCCAGATGGATTTCATAGATATTTACAGAACTTTACAACAAAACACAACTAAATACACATTCTTCTCAAGTGCACATGGAACTTTCTCCAGAATAGACCACAAACTGAGTCACAAATCAGGTCTAAACTGATACCAAAAGATTGGGATTGTCCCCTGCATATTTTCAGACCATAATGCTTTGAAACTAGAACTAAATCACAAGAAGAAGTTTGGAAGGATTTCAAACACGTGGAGGTTAAGGACCATCCTGCTAAAAGATGAAAGGGTCAACCAGGAAATTAGGGAAGAATTAAAAAGATTCATGGAAACTAATGAGAATGAAGATACAACTGTTCAAAATCTTTGGGATACAGAAAGCAGTCCTGAGGGGGAAATACATTGCAATACAAGCACCCATCCCAAAACTGGAAAGAACCCAAATACAAAAGCTAACCTTGCACCTAAAGGAGCTGGAGAAAAAACAGCAAATAGATCCTACACCCAGCAGAAGAAGAGAATTAATAAAGATTCGAGCAGAACTCAATGAAATAGAGACCAGAAAAACTGTGGAACAGATCAACAAAACCAGGAGTTGGTTCTTTGAAAGAATTAATAAGATAGATAAACCATTAGCCAGCCTTATTAAAAAGAAGAGAGAAAAGACTCAAATTAATAAAATCATGAATGAGAAAGGAGAGATCACCACCAATACCAAGGAAATACAAACGATTTTAAAAACATTATGAGCAGCTTTACGCCAATAAATTAGGCAATCTAGAAGAAATGGACACATTTCTGAAAAACCACAAACTACCAAAACTGGAACAGGAAGAAATAGAAAACCTGAACAGGCCAATAACTGAAGAAACCTCCCCCCTTGTAAGTAGGGCCAGCCCTAACCCAGAGGCAGCCCATCCAGGCGCCTTCCTGAAATTTTAGCAACTAAAAGCATTCTGTTCACAGTAAGAAAACCATTTCCCCGCACACCCTGATTGGAATGTCCCTGAATAGGTTCATGTTGACCCTCTGTGAAATCAACCTGGATGCCATGCGACTCCCGCGGTTCTTTGTCTTTAGGCGGTTTCTTTCCTTTTGCCTTTAAAAGATCCCTGTAATTGCTAATCGGGGCTCTTTTCCTCCTCGGAGGCGGAGAGCCCGTTTGCGCAAATGTTCAATAAACCCTCTTGCTAATTGCATCTGCCTGTCTGGGGTCTGAGTCTCTGGGGCGTCCACCGGGCCACGTTGGCACATGTGAGCCAGGGTCCAACATTTGGGGGCTCGTCCGGGATCTGAGACGCCCCAGACTCAATCCTAAGACCGGTAGGAGGTAAGACCGAGCTCGCTAAATGTCATATCTGTCTCGTCCGTTTGTCTGACTGGCCGGGTCTGTTTTGTGCCGGGTCTGTATTGTGCCTGCAGGACGCTGTACTCTGTATTCTGTGTTTGGACCAGCGGGGGAGGCAGACGTGCCCGAGACCCCTGGTCCCCCTCCGGAGTCGGACTCCGGAGTGGTCTGGAAGAGGAACGGAGCCCCGGCACTCCCTCCTCTTCGGGGAAGGTCGTTGTTCGCGACCGCTCCCATCTGAATCTGCCGCGCCAGTCCTGTCGTTCGTGTGCGTCTGTTCGTTCCGTGTTTCTCTTCCTTTCCTGTCCTCCTCCTCACCGCTCACCCCTTCTCTACACCCATGGGGCAGACTGTAACCACCCCTTTAAGCCTCACTCTAGATCACTGGAAAGAAGTCGCCGGCCGGGCACACAATCTTTCGGTCGAAGTCAGAAGACGAAGATGGGTCACCTTCTGCTCCTCAGAGTGGCCGGCTTTCAACGCCGGGGGGCCCAGGAACGGAGCTTTTAATATTGACATTATCTTGCAGGTGAAGGCCCTGGTCTTCCAGCCAGGACCCAATGGACACCTCGATCAGCCGACCTGGGATGACCGCCAACAGCTCCTGCAGACTCCCCTCACCACGGAGGAGAGACAGCGCGTCTACCTCGAAGCTCGGAAAAACGTCCCGGGGGCGGATGGGAGGCCGACCCAGCTGCCTAATGAGATTGAGGATGTTTTCCCCTTGGTTCGCCCGACCTGGGACTACGACACTGTTGCTGGTAGGGAGCGGCTCTGTCTCTATCGCCAGGTACTCCTAGCGGGTCTCAAAGGGGCAGGGCGTCGCCCCACCAATTTGGCAAGGGTACGTGCTATAGTGCAGGGAAAAGAGGAGACACCGGCAGGTTTTCTGCAGAGGTTAATAGAAGGCTATACTGGCCACCGTAGTACAGGGCTCAGGGCAGAGTAAGTCAGGACAGAGTAGGGACCTGGGAGACAAAAGAGGACCACGGGTTAAACGAGACCAGTGTGCCTACTGCAAGGAAAAAGGACATTGGGTTAAAGATTGCCCAAGGAAGGGCCAAACGCAGGGACCTAAAAAGAAGCCCATTCCTGTTTTGTCCCTAGAAGATAAAGATTAGGGGTGTCAGGGCCAGGACCCCCCCCCAGCCTCGGATAACCCTTAAAGTGGGGGGGCAGACGGTGACCTTCCTGGTCGATACGGGGGCTCAACATTCAGTTTTAACTGAGGCAAAAGGACCCTTGAGCTCTAAAACGTCTTGGGTTCAAGGGGAAACTGGAAGCAAGTTATATCGATGGACAACCGATCGGAAGGTCCACCTGAGCACTGGGCAAGTAACGCATTCCTTCTTACTGGTCCCAGACTGCCCTTACCCTCTCCTAGGCAGAGACCTTCTTTCAAAAGTAGGGGCCCAGATACATTTTCAGCAAAATGGGGCCACTATTACTGGCTCGGGAGGGCAGCCCCTCCAGGTACTGACCTTGCGCCTAGAGGATGAACACCGGCTGCACGAGGACTCTCCACCGTCCGTGCAGCCCCTAGATTCTGAATGGCTCACTAACTACCCTCAGGCCTGGGTGGAAACGGCCAGAATGGGACTAGCTGTAAACCAGCCACCCATAATTGTAAACTTAAAACCCTCGGCCACCCCCATATCGATCCGGCAATATTCAATGAGCAAAGAGGCCAAAGAAGGCATTCGGCCCCATATACAGAGACTATTACAATTGGGCATTTTAATACCTTGCCAGTCGCCCTGGAATACTCCTCTATTACCCGTAAAAAAAACCCGGCACAGGAGATTACCGGCCGGTACAAGATTTACGAGAGGTTAACTGGAGGACAGAGGACATACATCCCACGGTGCCAAATCCCTACAACTTGCTCAGCACCTTACCCCCAAGCCATGTCTGGTATACGGTGTTAGATCTAAAAGATGCATTCTTCTGCCTGAGGTTAAGCTCTCAAAGCCAGCCTATTTTTGCTTTTGAATGGAAAGATCCTGAGACGGGATTCTCAGGACAACTCACTTGGACAAGGCTGCCGCAGGGATTCAAAAACTCCCCCACTTTGTTGGATGAGGCCTTGCATCAGGATTTGGCAGATTTCAGAGTTGGCCATCCGGACCTCGTCCTTCTGCAGTACGTGGATGATTTGCTCCTGGCGGCTAGGACAGAACAGGATTGTGTAAAAGGTACGGGGGCCCTGCTTGAGAGACTGGGAGAACTGGGGTATAGGGCCTCCGCCAAAAAGGCCCAAATAGGCCAGAGACAAGTGACCTATCTGGGATATCTCCTGGAAGGAGGCCAGAGGTGGCTGACGGAGAGCCGCAAAAAGGCTGTAGCCCTGATCCCAGCACCCACTAATGCCAAAGGACTACGAGAGTTCCTCGGCAGTGCTGGGTTCTGCCGCCTCTGGATACCCGGGTTTGCGGAGATGGCGGCTCCCCTATATCCTCTCACGAAATCCAACACCCCCTACCACTGGGGAAAGGAGCAGCAATTGGCTTTTGACAAAATAAAAAGGGCCTTATTGACCACCCCTGCCCTGAGCCTCCCAGATGTAACCAAGCCTTTTACACTATATGTTGATGAACATAATGGAATAGCCAAAGGGGTCCTAACTCAAAAACTGGGACCCTGGAAAAGGCCCATGGCATACTTTTCAAAAAAATTAGACAGCGTGGCTGCAGGATGGCCCCCATGTCTCCGAATAATAGCGGCTGTGGCAGTCCTGGTAAAAGACTCAGACAAGTTGACTTTCGGCCAACCCCTCACTGTGGTGGCCCCCCACGCCATAGAGACAGTCATCCGCCAGCCCCCTGATCGATGGCTCTCAAACGCCCGGGTCACCCATTATCAGGCCATGTTACTGAATTCTGAGCGGATACGGTTTGGAATGGCTACATCTCTAAACCCGGTCACCTTGCTTCCAGAAACCGAGTCCCCCTCCCTAGTAATGCATGATTGCCACCAGATCCTAGCTGAAGTCCATGGCACCAGAGGGGACTTGACGGACCAGCCTTTGCCGGATGCTGAAGCAACCTGGTACACCGATGGGAGTAGCTTTCTACGAAATGGTGAGCGTAAAGCCGGGGCAGCCGTGGTAGATGGGAAAGCTGTCATTTGGGCCAGTGCCTTAGACCTGGGACTTCAGCTCAAAGGGCAGAGCTTATAGCCCTAACTCAGGCCCTAAGAAAGGCTAAGGACAAAAAGGTCAACATTTATACTGACAGCAGATATGCTTTTGCAACTGCCCATGTTCATGGAGAAATATACCGTAGAAGGGGTCTCCTAACCTCAGCAGGTAAAAACATCAAAAACAGAGAAGAAATACAAGATCTTCTCCATTCCCTCTTTCTGCCGAGAAAACTGAGTATAATTCACTGTCCTGGGCATCAGCGAGGCAATGACCCAGTAGCAGAGGGGAACAGGATGGCCGATGAGACAGCACGGGCCGCTGCACTAGGCCCACAGGCCCTCTCCCTACAAGTACCAGAGGCTGTCCGGACACCGGGGCAACTCTCTCTCGAGTACTCAGACAGCGACCTAGATATCCTCCAGCAAATAGGGGCAAAATATGACGAGCAAATGAAGGTCTGGAAACACCAAGGGAAGACGGTCCTGCCCCAGAAAAGGGCCAAAGAACTGGTGACTCACCTCCACCGATGGACTCACCTCGGACACAAAAAATTAAAAGCACTCCTCCGGAGAGAAGGTCAGACCTATTACATTCCCAAACTCCCCTCCCTGATCCAACAGGTAACCGACGCTTGTGTACCTTGTGCTAAGGTAAATACCAAACACCTCAAGAGGCCTGAGGGAACCAGGATGAGGGGAGAAAGACCCGGAACTAATTGGGAAGTAGACTTCACCGAAATCAAGCCAGGTAAATATGGTAACAAGTACCTCCTAGTGTTTATAGATACCTTTTCAGGCTGGACAGAAGCTTTCCCCACCAAGCGAGAAACCGCCCAGGTGGTTGTCAAGAAAATCCTGGAAGAAATTTTCCCCGGGTTTGGACTGCCCAAGGTAATAGGGTCGGACAACGGCCCCGCCTTCGTCTCCCAGGTAAGTCAGTTGGTGGCCAGATTACTGGGGATAAATTGGAAATTACATTGTGCATACAGACCCCAGAGCTCAGGTCAGGTAGAAAGAATGAATAGAACAATTAAAGAGACCCTAACTAAATTGACATTGGAGACTGGCACTAGAGACTGGGTCCAACTCCTCCCTATGGTTCTGTTCCGAGTCCGGACCACTCCCGCGCACCATGGTCTAACTCCTTACGAGATTCTCTATGGAGGTCCCCCACCAGTAACGGACTTACTAGATTCTGCTCTTGACCCTCTTGCTAACACTCCCGGTTTACAGGACAGGCTAAAGGCGCTCCAGATTATCCAGCACCAGATCTGGAAACCCCTTGCGGCTGTCTACCGCCCCGGAGACACAACCGGCCCACACCGGTTCCAGATCGGGGACTCCGTCTACGTCAGGAGACATCAGTCCAGGACGCTTGAGCCCCGCTGGAAGGGCCCATATACTGTCCTACTGACCACCCCAACCGCCTTAAAGGTAGACGGCATTGCTGCTTGGGTCCACGCCTCACACGTCCAGCGCGCCCCATCAACGAGCACCGCTGACGCCAGCCAGGACGGACCGGACGAGCCGCTCCAATGGAAGCTCCACCGCACCCAAAACCCGCTCAAGATAAGACTTTCAAAAATTGTTCAATGACAGTTGTTATATTCCTACCTCTCCTAGCGCTCTTCACCTCCGCCAAAGGTGACCCTCATGCCCTCAAAAGGTTAACCTGGCAGGTACTAACGTCTGGGGGTGACGAGGTCTGGTCTATAACTAAGACCGCCCCCGTGGGAACCTGGTGGCCTGACCTATATCCTGACCTATGCAAGCTAACCATAGGGGCCCCTAGCCCATGGGACCTAGAGGGATACTTCGACACCTCTAGAGCCCCTAACCAAGAAAGCCCTCCAGGGCGACTGGGATTAGACCCATGGGGAGGATGTGGCACGCCTGACAGAAGGGCCATGCTAAGCACTCTTCCCTTTTATGTCTGTCCCGGGCACCACAGAGATCGCAGGCTAAATCCCACCTGTGGAGGAGGGGAATGTTTCTATTGTAAAAATTGGGGGTGCGAAACTACTGGGGATACAGAATGGAGGCCCTCCTCCTCCTGGGATTATATCACTGTCAAGGCTAACTATACTCACCCGACATTTAGCAAATGGAAAACCCTTAATTATGGGCCCTGCCAAGGGTGGTGTCATCCCCTACGGATATCCTTCACGGAGCCCGGAAAAAGGGCTACTCACTGGGCCAATGGATATACGTGGGGACTCAGGTTATACAAAGAAAGAACAGATGATGGTTTTATATTCAGAATTAAACTAAAAATAGAATCCCCAGACCCCGTGGCGATCGGGCCTAACGCGGTCCTCGGGGAACAAAGAGCTGCCCGGCCCTAGCCGCAGGGAGTGCCGCACCCACTAACTTCGCGGTCACTCCAACCCCTCGGTCGTCACCCGAGACCGGACAACGACTGTTTAATCTTATCATAGGGGCATTCCTGGCCCTTAATCGAACCAGCCCCGATGTAACTAAATCCTGCTGGCTCTGCCTTGCTTCCCCCCCCCCCCTTATTATGAGGAAATTGCTACTTCAGGGACCTATAATCACATCACTAGCACTCAGGGATGCACACCCGACTCCCAACCACAACTCACCCTTACAGAAGTTACAGGACAGGGAACCTGCATAGGAACACCCCCCCCCCCGGGGCTACCAGAGACTCTGCAACACTACTACCTCGATTTTGGGGACTGATTCTTACCTGGAGCCCCAGCCGGGAACTTGGTGGGCATGCAACAAAGGCCTCACCCCCTATGTGTGTCGGCTAAGGTTCTAAATAGCTCAAACGACTTCTGTGTCATGGTGCAGATCATACCCAGGGTGTTCTATCACCTGCTGAAACTCTAGAAAATCAGTATGATAAACATCCCACCCGTTTTCGGCGCGAACCTGTCTCCCTAACCTTAGCCGTTATGTTGGGACTAGGGGTCGCTGCTGGGGTGGGTAGTGGCGCAGCTGCTCCGATCCAGGGCTCACGACGTTATCTAGAACTCCAAACAGCTGTAGATGAGGATCCACGGACACTAGCGCAGTCCGTTTCTAAGCTAGAACAGTCCCTCCCCTCACTTTCAGAAGTAGCACTTCAAAACAGGAGAGGCTTGGATTGACTAGTCCTGAAAGAGGGAGGACTGTGTGCGGCCCTGGGAGAGGAATGCGGTTTCTATGCAGACCATTCTGGAGTCATCCGAGACTCCATGGCCAAACTCAGGGAAAGGTTAAATAAAAGACAAAGGGACCGGGAGGCCCAGCAGGGCTGGTTTGAAAGCTGGTTTAATCAGTCTCCCTGGTTGACCACCCTAATCTCTACCATTCTGGGCCCTCTAGTTATCCTGCTCCTGCTGCTAACTTTCGGCCCCTGCGTCCTCTACCGGCTGCTCCAGTTCATCCGAGAAAGATTGTCTATTACCCAAGCTCTGGTATTAACTCAGCAATGTCGGGCCCTCCAAACTGAAGAAATAAATGTTCCCTAAGATTTTAAGGTTAAAATCAGCCCAAACAAGAGGAGGGAATGAAGAAACCTCCCCCCTTGTAAGTAGGGCCAGCCCTAACCCAGAGGCAGCCCATCCAGGCGCCTTCCTGAAATTTTAGCAACAAAAAGCATTCTGTTCACAATAAGAAAACCATTTCCCCCCACACCCTGATTGGAATGTCCCTGAATAGGTTCATGTTGACCCTCCCCGAAATCGACCTGGACGCTATGCGACTCCCGTGGTTCTTTTGCCTTTAGGCGGTTTCTTTCCTTTTGCCTTTAAAAGATCCCTGTAATTGCTAATCGGGGCTCTTTTCCTCCTCGGAGGCGGAGAGCCCGTTTGCGCAAACGTTCAATAAACCCTCTTGCTAATTGCATCTGCCTGTCTGGGGTCTGAGTCTCTGGGGGGTCCACCGGGCCACGTTGGCACCCGTGAGCCAGGGTCCAACATAACCAGGGAGGAAATTGAAGCAGTCACCAAAAACCTCCCAAGACAAAAGTCCAGGGCCAGATGGCTTCCCAGGAGAATTCTATCAAACGTTTAAAGAAGAAACCATACCTATTTTACTAAAGCTGTTCGGAAAGATAGAAAGAGATGGAATAGTTCTAAAGTCATTCTATGAGGCCAGCATCACCTTAATTCCGAAACCAGACAAAGACCCCACCAAAAAGGAGAATTACAGACCAATATCCCTGATGAGCACAGATGCAAAAATTCTCAACAAGATACTAGCCAGTAGGATCCAATAGTACATTAAGAAGATTATTCACCATGACCAAGTGGGATTTATCCCTGGGATGCAAGGCTGGTTCAACACTCATAAAGCAATCAATGTGACTGATCATATCAGCAAGAGAAAAAAACAAGAACCATATGATCCTTTCAATAGATGCAGAGAAAGCATTTGACAAAATACAACATCCATTCCTGATCAAAACTCTTGAGAGTGTAGGGAGAGAGGGAACATTCCTCAATATCTTAAAAGCCATCTATGAAAAGCCCACAGCAAATATCATTCTCAATGGGGAAACACTGAGCCTTTCCCTTAAGATCAGAAACAAGACAGGGATGTCCACTCTCACCACTGCTATTCAACCTAGTACTAGAAGTCTTAGCCTCAGCAATCAGGAAACAAAAAGAAATGAAAGGCATTCAAATTGGCAAAGATGAAGTCAAACTCTCCCTCTACGCAGATGACATGATACTGTACATAGAAAACCCAAAAGATTCCACCCCAAGATTGCTAGAACTCATACAGCAATTTGGCAGTGTGGCAGGATACAAAATCGATGCCCAGAAATCAGTGGCATGTCTATACACTAGCAATGAGTCTGAAGAAAGAGAAAGAGAAATTAAGGAGTCAATCCCATTTACAATTGCACCCAAAAGCATAAGATACCTAGGAATAAACCTAACCAAAGAGGTAAAGGTGCTATACCCTAAAAACTACAGAACACTTCTGAAAGAAATTGAGGAGGACACAAAGAGATGGAAAAATATTCCATGCTCATGGATTGGAAGAATTAATATTGTGAAAATCTCCATGCTACCCAGGGCAATTTAGTGCAATCCCAATCAAAATACCATGGACTTTCTTCAGAAAGTTGGAACAAATTATCTTAAGATTTGTGTGGAATCAGAAAAGACCCCGAATAGCCAGGGGAATATTATAAAAAAAGAAAACCATAGTTGGGGGCATCACAATGCCAGATTTCAGGTTGCACTACAAAGCTGTGGTTATCAAGACAGTGTGGTACTGGCCCAAAAACAGACACATAGATCAATGGAACAGAATAGAGAATCCAGAAGTGGACCCTCAACTTTATGGTCAACTAAGATTTGACAAAGCAGGAAAGACTATCCACTGGAAAAAAGACAGTCTCTTCAGTAAATGGTGCTGGGAAAATTGGACATCCACATGCAGAAGAATGAAACTAGACCACTCTCTTGCACCATACACAAAGATAAACTCAAAATGGATGAAAGATCTAAATGTGAGACAAGATTCCATCAAAATCCTAGAGGAGAACACAGGCAACACCATTTTTGAACTTGGCCACAGCAACTTCTTGCAAGATACATCCATGAAGGCAAGAGGAACAAAAGCAAAAATAAATTATTGGGACTTCATCAAGATAAGAAGCTTCTGCACAGCAAAAGCAATAGTCAACAAAACTAAAAGACAACCTACAGAATGGGAGAAGATATTTGTAAATGACCTATCAGATAAAGGGCTAGTATCCAAGATCTATAAAGAACTTATCTAACTCAACACCCAAGAAACAAACAATCCAATCATGAAATAGGCAAAAGACAAGAACAGAAATCTCACAGAGGAAGACAGACATGGCCAACAAGCACATGAGAATATGCTCTGCATCACTTGCCATCAGGGAAATACAAATCAAAACCACGATGAGATACCACCTCACACCAGTGAGAATGGGGAAAATGAACAAGACAGGAAACCACAAATGTTGGAGAGGATGCGGAGAAAAGGGAACCCTCTTGCACTGTTGGTGGGAATGTGAACTGGTGCAGCCACTCTGGAAAACTGTGTGGAAGTTCCCCAAAGAGTTAAAAGTAGACCTGCCCTATGACCCAGCAATTGCACTGCTGGGGATTTACCCCAAAGATACAGATGCGGTGAAACACCTGAACACCTGCACCCCGATGTTTCTAGCAATGTCCACAATAGCCAAAGTGTGGAAGGAGCCTCAGTGTCCATTGAAAGATGAATGGATAAAGAAGATGTGGTTTATGTATACAATGGAATATTACTCAGCCATTAGAAACAACAAATACCCACTATTTGCTTCCATGTGGAGGGACCTGGAGGGTATTACACTAAGTGAAATAAGTCAATCGGAAAAGGACAAACATTATATGTTCTCATTCATTTGGGGAATATAAAAATTAGTAAAAGGGAATAAAGGGAAAAGAGAGAAAATGAGTGAAAATATCAGTGAGGGTAACAAAACATGAAAAACACCTAACTCTGGGAAATGAACAAGGGGTAGTGGAAGGGGAAGTGGGAGGGGGATTAGGGTGACTGCGTGATGGGCAATGGGGGGGGCACTTGGCGGGATGAGCACTGGGTGTTATACTATATGTTGGCAAATTGAACTCCAATAAAAAAGTTAAAAAAAAAAAAGAATTCATATGCAATCCCCAAGGCTGCTTGAATGATATATGCCACATTAAAAACTATGCCCGGATTAAACAAGAAAATTCAGAGTATACATAACAAATATTATCTTAGAGATGAAATGCATCATTTAAGTATAGAATTGAATGAAAAGAGATCTGAAATAAATACAGAGACCTACATGCAGGGAACATATGGAAAGTGCTAGAGGAAAATGCTACAGTTTCCTAGACTGGAAGAAACACCAGCAACTGGTTATGCTACTGGCACAGATGGAAAGAGGTCATATTTTTCTAATAGATTAAAGTAGTCAAAGGCACCGAACATTCCAGTAGATTAAGGAAATGTATAAACCCATTTTTTTAACCTTGGTAGAAATTATTACAGAGTTCTGAGAGAGGAATTGCTAAAGGAATTGGTCATACAGAGTTACAGAACAATTTAGCCACATTTCTGGGCCATACAGAAGACATTTCCTTTAACTACACTCCTGAAAAGAATTAACGTGTGGGGATTTCAATTGAAATGGAGCTCTACCAAGGGAGTGTGTGTGAGAGTAGGGCAGTTTTTAGGAATTCAGTCCTCTTCTCTCTGTGGAATTAAGAAAAAAGAAATTGCAAGTGACCTGAAATTCAATGAGACAGTGTGCCTATTTCAGTGAAAATTTCATCTGGTTCAAAATGGAAAATAATTGAAATGAGATTTTTGCTGAAACAAGCAACATTTGTAATCACATGAGATATTTAAAAAGAGTGAAGAGAAAGGCATTCTAAATAATTCTAAGAAAATAAGATGTAGCCAAAAAAATCATGGCAATCCTTTCCACTTTCCTCCTTAAGAGCAGGAAGTCAAATTACAGCTAAGAAGGTGACCAAGGCAAGTGTGGACAGGAAAAACTGCTGAGGCCTCTGCTCCTTTCCCAACTGAGGATTCTACAGCCTGGAAGATAGGTGGAGAAGGACAGAAAGGCAGTCAGGCCTGCTGACATCCACCTTTAGAAACAGAGATAATGAGACATAATTATTTTCTGCCTTCTAGTCTACCCTCCTCCCAGGTCAGAGATCAGAGTTTTAGGTATCAGGAATAGCAGTTCCAAAGTGTTTAGGAATTGTTGATTAGAGAAAGATTTAAGAACAAACAAACCAACCAACTCTCCAAGTCAATTTAACACGATGAAGTTATATACTAAGCCCATTCTAAATTTTTTTTTTTTTCCCACTGTGCTTAAATGTTATTCCTATTCAGTAGAGGAACAGGGATTAAGGGACCATCCCTTAAATATCAATATTTCCCAGGGCTCTGTGCTGGATCTTATTCTTTCTCTCCACAGTCTGGGCAATGCTACGCAGCCCAGTGCTTCAGCGACCACACGCTGATCACCTTCAAATCTATATTCCTCTCTCAGATCTATCTCATGAGCTTTAAACACACAGCGCACACTTGAAAGCTCTTCATGGATTCTTACAAGCAACTCAAACTTAGAGAATAAAATAAACTCATTATTTATACTTTCCAAATCCTTTACTAAATTTATAACTTCTTTGCTGCTGTGTGGAAACCTTGGTTATCAGTGTTTTGTTTCTCCTCCTGGTCCTATACTTGCTTTTCCAATGGATATTTTAAATTAAATGTTTACTTTACTTTTATCTTGTTTGTATATCTTGTAAGCTAACTTAAATCTATTATGGAACAATAATAAATCAATGAACTCCTAAAATGAAGTATAAAAGCAAAACACTACAATGAGTGTGTCAGGGAGGGAGGGCACATGCTCATGCTGGGATGCTCTCTCCAGGAGATGGCGCTCACACTGTATTTTTGCTTTAGGATTTTTACATTGAGAAAAATGTCACAATTTTCTTATATAGATAATGAAGTCAAAGTAACATGATGTTTTGTCATTTTTAGGATGGTCCTCTGGGATACCAGGACTTTACCTAATGATTTCTTATGCTTATTTTACAGATGTAGGTAGAGTTTGGGGGTGAAAGTGCTAGAAGGAATGAAATTTTTGGTGAGGAAGAATTTGTGATACAAGGTGAAAGAAAGGACACATCTAAAAGCTCTTCCAACAAATGGAAGGTCATAGTCTTATTATCATAGGGTGGGAAGCATACAAGCAGGAAAGCAAAAGGGAAGATAGAGATTTGGGTAGAGGAAGCTAACAAGTGAATATATATCTAGGGCTATCTGAAAAAAAATAAAGT